GGAAAATTACCGCTATTTTTGAAAGTTTTATTGAATTATAATTGATATATTTGTTTAGAAATACTTCTAAATATCTAAAAAGTCGTATTTTCTAGTTTTATAAATTTTAGATTTGCGTGATTTAATATAAAACGACTAAGTCACGTCAGCCATCTCATTGTCGCCCGGGAGTTCACCGCCGTCACCAGACGAAACGGTCGCGGTTGCCGCCGCAGCCGCCACTGCCTCTACTGGAACCCCGTCACGCTGTCGTGACAAAAGGGGCTCGCTTCGCCTCCCTACGGGCCGTTGCCGAGCACTCCGCCGGAGTCTCTCGACTCCTAGTTCGACTGCCACCTCTTCCTCTAGAACTCCACCCTAAACTCGCCAGAGCCACCTTCCGTCGCTCCGCCCAGTCGCTGGCCGTTCGCCGACGAACGCCTACCTGCCGCTGACGTCAGGAGAGACCATGCAGCAGTGCCAATGAGCGAGATCCAGTCCAAGCTCCTCACAGGCCCCGGCCGGAGTTTCCCGATGATCCGCCGCAGTCACGCCATTTCCCCCGCCGCCTACACTAGGAGGGCTCAACCTCCCTAGTATCGTCGGCCAGATAATCCCCCTTCCTCTGCTCCGCTTCTCGGCACCGCCAGAGAAGGCCGATCCTTCCAACGACGGTTGGATTTCTGCTGAAGCGTCGCTGACACTCGGCATTCCCGTCGAAGCGCCGCCGCCGCGCGCACCCTGCGCGCTGGCTCTTGCGGCCCATGCGCCCACCGGGCGCCGCCACCCGCGTGCCTTGAGGCACACCGTGCGGCTTGCCGCGTGCACCTGCTAGCGTGCCCTTCGGCCCACCAGCAGTCCCACGCCCGCGCTGACCGTGCCACGCCTTACGACGATGACTACCTCGACTTCTCAACCAGGACCAACCGTCGATGCTGAGCATCGCTCTTCCCCAGACGTCTCTGCTTACGTCGAGTCTCCGCTTCGTCACGACCTGCCGGGCTACGCAGCCCCGAAGGTTAGCTCTGTACCCCTTCTTACTTAAGTTTAATTATCTTTCGAAGGGTTTCTCGGCTTGTTTCCACTGCCATCAGGAGAATGTAGATAAGATGGGACGGGTTATCAGGTTGTGACTTCCGACGCTGCACTAGACTCGTCACTGTTCGTGAGTTGCAGCCCTAGGCTACTTCATGACGACCGTTCCGCCGTCTATCCAGACGTGGACCGAGAGGACCTCACACTTACCATCGTCGAGTGTTCCCCCGGATTGTCCTTGGTTGATAGTGCATATTGGTACGTTTGCTTGTACTTAGGTTATGTGGTTAGACCTAGAGTCTAGGGTTCATACATTCTATCAGATCGGTCTGTCTGCCCCCTTCCCGAGTATTGAGTTTCATTGATCAAGTACAAGGGTTCTAGCCCCGTCTTACATCATAATGTCTTGAGACTAAGATGGTCTTTGACCTTTATGGATGTGTGTTCATGAACCACATGGGTCTACTTACTAGATCATAAACCAGAAGTTAGTGAATTGACCAAGAATAAACATACCTTATTTTTTAGAAATAATTAATATGTTCTTACTCTATTTTTATTCATTCATACTGATGTGTGGAGACCCTAATCTACTCTTAATGTCTAGAGACTAAGATGGTCTTTGACCTTTCTAGATGCTTGTTCATGAACCACATGGATCTACTTACTAGATCCCAAATTAGAAGTTAGTAAAGTACTTCAATAATTTTACTCATTAATTAAAAATAAGTAATGTTACATATTACCTTAATTAGAAAATAATTGAATAACTTTAAAATGAGAAAGTTATTTATAAATCATCATGCTTTACATTCAACATTAAATGGGGTGGTGGAAATAAAACATATTACTACCAATCTTTAGCAAATAAGTATTTTATTGCAATTGATGTAAATTTTGGGGAATATAAATATTCTTCAACTAATAAAAATATTTTATTTAAATGGAAAAATAAGGATGATGGTGCAAAATAATAAGTCAAACTTCTTATTACCAATTCCTCTTTGAAAGAATCTATATCTCTATGTGCAATCCTAGAGGAACCTCAACTCAACTATTCTTCTCATTGAGAATATTCAATAAAAACTTAATCAATGCCCTATATTAAGGAGAATTCGGAAAAAATCACTAATAACTCTTAGGAAAATAAAGATAAAGTGTTTTCAAGGAACCAAGGTGTCCCATTTCTTCAAATTGAATATTTCTTACTTCTCTTAATACCATTTAATACTACTAAATTTTTTTTGAGGCATCTCTGAGGAATGAAAATAATTGATGAATGAGGAGATTAATACATTAGAGAAGAATCAATAATGAGCGTTAGTCAAGTTATCACAAAAAAAAATAGTCGAATGTAAATAGGTTTATACTCTTTAATACAAAGTTGATGTAACTGTATAAAGTTATTGAATTAGATTAGTAGCTAGGGCTATATCCAAACTTATGGAATATATTATTTAGAGTCATTTTCCTACTTTTAAAAATACATCATTAAAGTTTTACTTTCCTTAACAACTAAATTGGATATATAACATTTTGATTTAAATAGTACATTTTCCCATAGAGAACTTGATGAGGAAATTTATATAAGCATTCTTTAAGGATATGAAACCAACTCCAATAGTGATGTCATATGTAAGCTAAAGAAAATTTTATATGGGCTCAAATAATCACCAAGAACTTGACTTCAAATATTCACAAAAATGATGTGCAAGACTACGTATATACTTAATAATCAAGACTATATTCTAGTTATTAAACATGAACCTTCAAGGGCCCCTACTAATTTATGTAGATAACATAATGATGACAAAGAATCACAAGAGAGAAAAAGAACATTTAAGTATTTGTTAAAAGAACTTGTTGAGAAAGTCAAAACATTTTCTTGGTATTGAACTAGCTCACTCGAAACAAAGCATATTCATTTCTCTACAAAAATATGTAATTAACCTTCTAAAAGATATAAAAAAATTAGGTTGTAAGCTCATAAATATCCTCCTATATATTTGAACCATATACTCGAGAGTGCAAAAGAAAGTAGTTTTATTGATAAATTGACATATCAATATTTCATCGAAAAACTTTTCTATGTTAGACCAGATATTGAATACTTAGTAATCATTCTTAGTCAATTTATGTAAGACCCACACTAGTTTATCTCTTAACAGCTAAAATAGTTTTACAATACTTAAAAGGGACTCTTAGTAGAGGAATTCTATTTAATAAAAATATAATGTGAATTTGAAAATTAACAAAGATGTTGATTATGTAAGTTCAATTGTCGATCGATAGCCAACCTCAAGCTACCACTTAGAGACAACCTCTCACATGAAGAAACAATAAGTAAAAAATGATAAATAGATCTAAAATAGAATAAGAGTTTTGGGTTATAACACAAGACATATGTGAAGTTATGTGGGTGAAAGGTATCTTATAAATTCTCTAAATCAAATAACCAAATCCAACTAAATTTTATTGTGACAAAAAATCTATAATAGTATTGCATATAAGTCAATGCAACATTATCAAATCAAGCATATCAAGATTGATCAATACATCATAAATAAAAAACTTAATAGTGAAGATATATCCTAACTCATAAGTAAGTGACAAATATCCTCACCAAATGATTGTGGATCAGCCTTCTAGAGCTCATAGCTAAATTGGTATTGGACAACATCCACTCACCAATTAGAAGGAGAATGTCAAAGAATGAGATGTCAAAATCATACTATGGTTGTGTTTTAACAATGTTTATGCCTCATCTATTTATATTTTTATCCCTCTCAATTATCAGTTCAATATAAGCGAAACCTAATTAATTAGATCAGATTTACTAAGTATGATTCAATACAAATATTTATATATTTTTTCACTTTAAATGAATTTTTTTTATTTTGTCTTTCACTTCCTCTCTCCTCTCTCCCAAGTCAACGGCACGAGCAACAACAATGGTAGCTTCGACAACTCTCTCTCTCTTTCTATGTCTCTCAATATTTCTACAGGCGTTCAAGAATTAGATGTACAGAGGTTCCCGCGAGGAGTGGCGTTCAGAAGAGCCTCTCCCCATGCTCATCGCCAATGCCAATAAAGTAAGTAAGTTATGTCGCACCTTTCTTATCAAGTTGACGTCGTCTTCTAGAAATCACTGTGTATCATTCTACACCTGATGGTAAGCTGGTGGTGTGCGCTGACGTTGTCTTCTACACGGTGTCCACGCCATGTCTGGTTGGATGGCTGTGGAACACAATCGGCGGGTTCCTCCAAGCCTCTGTCAGAATTCCCTAACGAGTAAGGAGAAAACATATATATAAACAGCATGTGTTCCACATTCTCCCGCTATGAATGGTTCTTAAGCGCCACCGTCAGAACGTACAAACGCCAGCAGGCTCCCACTTATAAGGATCGGAGACGCTGGCGGCTCCGAAGAAAACTTGTACTAAATGTGGCAAGACTTTTCAAAAGCCGTCTTGCATGAGAGACAATTCGTCGCTGACCATTCTCATGGACGTGAAAAGTCCATAGAATCGGGTCGGACAAAAATGGCTCATTGACTGTTTCTCACATAAATAGTTGCGTATGAGTGAACTTTGAGGGCATGATTACTGACGTCAACCCATGACACAACTCTTGAGATCCTCTAGAGGTGCCCATAAATAGAAGGGCCACTCTTCCCATTTGAGGCGCCCCAATAGAGAGAGTTTGGGAGAGGTTCTAAGGACAAGTCTTTCGTTGGGTTGGGTGACTGGTTTGAGGGCCAAGATCATAGGTTCTTGGTGAGAGTTCTCTTACATTCCTTTCTCATTGTGGAAAACTTTCGTCGTCACTTGTGGATGTGGGAGGCTGACCTCCGAACCATTGTAAAAGTTCTTATGTCGATGATTTTGCTGTGAATTGATCATTCTCTTATTTCCTACTTCGCGTCGTATAGATCATAGAAACACTATTTCACAAGTACAAAGTGGGCTTTTGCTCCAATACCGCCCATGGATGAGCAGCAGCAGCACTTTCTAGTGGTGGCCTACCCGGCTCAGGGCCACATCAACCCATGCCTCCAGCTGGCCAAGCGCCTTGTCCGCCTCGGCAATCGGGTCACCTTCTCCATCGCCGCCGAGACCCACCACCGCATGGCCATGGAAACGCTTCCCCCCCTGCTAGCTTGCCACCCTTACTCCGTCGGTAAGTACGACGGGGACATCGCCCAGGACACCATCGACTGGTGCGACTACTTGCAGGTTCTGAAGTCCGTGGGCAGCCGGACCCTCGCCGAGCTCGCCCGCGACCTCGCCGCCGCCGGCCGCCCGGTGACCTGCGTCATCTACACCTTCCTGGTCCCCTGGGCGGCTGCTGTTGCGCGCGATTTCGGGGTCCCGTCCGCCCTCTACTGGATCCAGTCCGCCGCCGTCTTCGCCGTCTACCACCTCTACTTCCACGGCCACGCCGGCCTCATCCAGGCCAAAAGCCAGGAGCCCCTCTCCTCTGTGGATCTACCGGGCCTGCCGGCTTTTCGCATCCGCGACGTCCCCTCCTTGCTCCTCTCCAGAACCCTGCTGGACATCACCTACTTCCCCGTGCTGGACGAGCTCTTCAGGACCATGGACGCCAAGGCCAGAGTTCTGGTCAACACCTTCGAGGCCCTGGAGCTGGATTATCTGCGAGCGGTGAAGCCGGTGGAGCTACTCCCCATTGGGCCGGCCCTGCCATCGGCCCACGCCGACGGCCTCGACGGGGCGGAGACCTCCTTCGGCGGCGACCTCTTCCAGCCGGCGCCAAGGGAGAGCTATACGACGTGGCTGGACGCCCAGCGGGATCGCTCGGTGGTGTATGTCTCCTTCGGGAGCTACGCGGTGCTGCCGGTGCGGCAGTTGGAGGAGATCTCCCGCGTGCTGGAGGACAGCCGACGGCCGTACCTGTGGGTGGCGCGGGGGGTACGGGAGGGGGTGAAGGATAGCTCGCAGGGGATGGTGGTGGACTGGTGCTCGCAGGTGGAGGTGCTCTCTCACCGCGCGGTCGGCTGTTTCGTCACGCACTGCGGGTGGAACTCTACGCTGGAGAGCCTGGCCTGTGGCGTGCCCATCGTGGGCCTGCCGCAGTGGAGTGACCAGTCGGCAAATGTCCTCTTGGCGGAGACGGCGTGGGGAGCCGGCGTACGCGCGGAGCCCAGCGCCGGGGGCCTGCCGGAGGCCGCCGAGCTGCGACGGTGCCTCGACCTTGTCATGGGCGAGGGGGAGCGCGGGGAGGCCATGCGCCGGAGCGCCAAGGCGTGGGGGAGGAAGGCCCGCGAGGCGGTGAAGGAAGGCGGCTCGTCCGATCGGAATCTGAGGGCGTTCGTCAAACTCCCCCGCTGAGGGCCTCCGATCTGCAGGGTCCTCTATGTCACTGTCTTTGGGAAACAGCTCTTGAAAAGATCAACTTGGACGGTGATCGAGGACTAAGCGGTGATCGACGACTTGGCGTGAGATTAATTAGTAATGTTCTATACTACAAGAGCACCAATGTATCGTCGGGATATCATTAATCAGTATTTTTCTAATTTTTATGGTTTTCTTATTTTTGACATTTACATTTAGTAAATTTCCGCACAAGTTAAAAATTTTATGTTCGAAAACGTCCCTTCGCTTTCGGAGACCGGTGGCCGTTGTCATCATCATTTATTGAATGATGAAGAGCGTTTAATAGGACCTCTCTTTTTCAAGAGCATATGACACTGCCTTTCTTGGGGGTTAGTGGCATGAAAATTTAAATGAGACGTTGCGGCCTTTAATAGTTATAATGTTAACATGCTAAGAATCCGATTATCCTCTTGAATTACTGTATGAGTTGGAGGATTAAAAAAATAATGTAATTACCAAACAATAGTGTTATAGTGATTGAATTCATCTGAGACCTACCCGAAAAAAAGTGTTACAATAAGATTATTACTTGAAATTGATCTAGCACTGTAACTCAATCATGATTTTATATCACTGATGATAACATTAAAAAGGAAATCTTTAAAACATCTTTGAGAAAGATTGATGGAAAAGAAAAGGAATAAAACTAGATTTGGGTTGATCAATGTAGAACCAATCAAGAAATTAATTTTTTTCATTAGGAAATTATTCAAATTCCATCCAAGGTTTAAAATAGGCTGTTTTAGGATCAATCAACTAAGTTTTGGCTTAGTTGTCCTCATCTGATTTGTTGTTATCTTTTTCTAGATCAAACTATTTCAAGAAAGCTTCAAACTACCAGATCAAGCCTATCATCATTTTTCCAAATACTTGAAAGATTTTCGGTCCAAGTGGTGGTTGGGATTAGGTTTCAGTTGTAGGAGGCAATAACAACGTGGAATAATAAAGACGAGACAACGTACAGAAATGTTATCTTTTTGGCTCAGCAACATAATATGGAACCTATCAACTGCTCCAAGAATCCTTAAGGTTATTTGGAGACTTTTCTTGGAAGGCACAAATAAAAATGATTGAGTTAGGGGGTGGGTTGCTCTTGAAATGACTCACATGGTGACACTCTAAGATTTCCAATGAAAAGCCTTTCCTTATTCCCTCTTATCTTTTGATATTTCCTTATTCCGTATTATTGAATCTTATTATTGATGGGACATAAGCAGAGGTCTAAATTTGCCGGGATTCCCTGAAACTGCTCTTTGTAGAGTCCCTGGAGCTCTCAAAGTTTTACCAAATCACTCAATGGGCTGCCCCAAGGCCCATTATTTATTTACCCCGTTTATACTCTCTCTCTCTCTCTCTCTCTCTCTCTCTCTCTCTCTCTGCAAGGCCGGCAAGAATCATTGGTGGACCCAAAGAAAGGCCCACTTGGGGGGCGGGGTGGGGTTGTCGTCTTTGGGCTCCCACCAAAGTTTGGGTTTGGGTTTGGGTTTGGGCCTTGCAGCCGCCTTCAGGACCCGTGAATCCCATTATGGTGTGAATGTGCTTGACTGATTACTGCACCAGTTTTTAAAACAGTTCCTATTAAAAAGGCTAAACTTGTCATTATAACTCGCTCAGTCTGGCTTTTAACAATATTTCTATTTTTCGGGATAACCCCCTACGGAAATAGCAAGTTCGGATCTACGCTCAATTTATTTTATTCTGCGAGCGGCCGGATGGTGACGTATCCCGAGTTAGCCGTAACTAGTACCGACTCCCGCGCCGTTTGGCCATTAGTCGGTGGCCTTCACGTGGCGGAAAGCTCAGTGGCAACGGCTAAAGCAACGAAACCGGAGGGTAGGTTCTCTCTCTCTCTCTCTCTGTTTCTATCATTATTCAGCAGTAAGCAGGGCAGATTCGCGCGAATGAGGGCTGTGGCTGGGCGTGCAGGAGATACCAAGACCGTACCTAACATTTTCTCATTGGCCTTCGCCACGGTCATTTAGTGGTTCACTATGTTGGCCAGAATCTCATTCAGAGTTACAACAGGAAGGCCGCGTGTGGTCTTCGGGTTCGGGAAATCCTCGCGCCGTTCCAAGGGCCTGACTAGTGTCATTCACAAGCTCGGACACTTCGTAACGTTTTGACAAGGTCTTACTATCTCGTGCACGCGGCGAGAAGGTGGTGTGGTGCAGCCAAATCATGTTCAGTTAGGGCAGCCTCTCGATGTGCGCACAGCTGCAGGCTCAGATGCCGTGCTAATGCCGCAGGACAGCTACGTGTGCTGGACCACGGTGGTTCCCAGCTACGAGGCCAAGTCATGTGCGCTCTCAGCCACGTCTAGTGGACAGTTGGATTCGATGCTGGTCAGAGTGGAGCCCTGGTACACGACCGGGTCTATGATTCCGCAAGCTCCACGAGCAGGACAGTTGGATTCGTTGTATGTGTGGCTATCTGTGGGTCGTCTTTGCTGCTGCTGCTCGCAAGACGAGAAATGCCTGCCCTAAGCTTGCCTTGACCGCACGACGCCGCGCCGCAAGCCTCCTCGCGACATGGCAACTCGGACATAAACTGAGGGAGAGGGAGGGACAGCTCTCGCTGGTCATTTCGCAGGGCCTGACCGGGGGGTCAGTGAGATCTGCGGCCGTTGGATGATGCTACGAGACGAACTTAGGCGAGGGTGGGTGAGCTGTGTAGCAGCGCGTCAGTAGATGCTATGAAATGAAAGCAACAGATAATTATGAACCGGGCCGATCCAAATAGAAGGATTGATTTTATGAGCTTGGGCCGATCCAAATAGTAGGTTTATGATTTTTGTGATATCTACTTAATATTAATTTACAGTATTTCAATTTATTGCTGATGGGACATAACCAGCGGTCTAAATGGGCCAGAATTCCATGAAAATCTCATTAAGGCCCAGAACATGGCCTCCTTCCCCCCCTCTCTCTCTCTCTCTCTCTCTCTCTCTCGCTAATTGTTTGGGCCTTGCAGCGGCCTTCAGGACCCGAGATGCCGCCCGACCCAACCCAAATAGATAGATAGGCCCATTATTAACTACAGAATGCGAGTCGTATGGTGCCACTGTGCTTGACTGATTATTACACCACTCACTCAAATACTTCCTATTAAAAAAGGCTAAACTTCTCTGTTATAACTCACCTACTGTTAAGCAATATTTCTATTATTATGGATAACCCCCTAGAAAATTAGACTTTCGATCTAGGTTCAACTTATTTTATTCTGCGAAAGGCCGGATGGTACGAAGAACCGTAGTAAGCCGTAACGGGCGCCGACCCCCGCGCCGTCTGGCCATTCCTCGGTGGTCGCTACGTGGTGGAGAGCTGAGTGGGAACCGCTAAGCTTGCACGACGAGGTAGCTTTTTTGCCCTTTTCCATCTCTCTCTCTCTCTCTCTCTCTCGCTATATATCTCTCTTATTCCCTTCATCTGATCCTTGCGGCGTTCCCTCCGTGATCTGCAAGTTAGGGCATCGCCGCCAGCCGCCTCAGCCCGAAGGGGGGGGTGGGGAGGTTACGATCTGCCCCCCCTTCGGAGCTGAAGGTTGAGAGGCACTGCGATCGGCCCGAGATATTTATCTGTTTCATCGGTTCTTCAGGAGTGAGCAGGGCAGATTCGCCGTCCTCAGCTGCAGCCCCGTGGGGGCGGTTCCCCCGAGGTGTTGCAGCGCGATGATGGTGCGCCATGCCTGGAAAGCTTGGGCGAGGACTCTGAGGTTGTAGACGGCGGCCAACGGCTTCTTCGTGTGGTGCCATTGGGCTAATCTCAAGGCTGACTATGGACTGAGATAGGATCCGCACCAGCAGAGCCGCGATGTAGATAAGTAGGCCATGATCGGCCACCAGGTGCTTTCGAGTTGTGGGTCTGACCCCAAAGTCCCTGCGGCGCTCATGAGTTTCACCATGGGGCGGGGGTTCGACTCGACTGCATCCGATGTCACTTGGAACGCGACCGTCAACGTGTCGATGCCGCCGTCGCCGAGAAGATTGATGATCGGAGAGTGCGACGACAAGATTGAAGATTGGATGGAAAACTCTCGACTATTTATACGGTAGGTCCCCCCAAAGTTATTTATTTATTTTATTTCATGGAGATTGCATTTGACTCGGCATCTACTGGCGCTCGGCTGCACATCTCACCAACCCCCAGAGTTTTGATCATGACATGTTCATCTCACAGCATCATAAGTTGGCTGCAGATCTTATGATCTGTGAGCTGAGCAGTAAGATCTGTCCCACCCCCCCGTCCCTCAGAGTCTACCTCATGGCATCACCTAATCTCAACCCCGGCCAGGGCCTCCAATCGCAACAGATCACCGCCATCCTATCCACCTTATAGGAGGCTTCCTTTTGGGTCACCACCAAGATTCTAGGAAGATTGTATGTATATATTTTTCTGGTTAATTGCTGGATTTTATTGTGATTCACCACCTATATAGATAGTTGAAACTTGGACGTCCGTTCTTCGTCCATCTTCTTCTCCTCGAACTTGATTCCAATCTATTTTGTAGGGATGGAGATTTACAATGGAGACTGTCATGATCAGCGACCTCCCAATCATGGACAGAAGCAAATGCAGGGGGAGACAACATCTATGTGGTGACAGCCGCATTCCAAGTGTCATCAGATGCTATCAAGCTGAATTTCAGCACAATGGTGAAACTTCTGAATGCTGGAACGACTTTGAGGTCTGATCCACACGTCAGAAGTGCCTAGTGAATGATCTTGGCCAGTTTGATTCTCTATATTTCGGCTATTGTAGATCCACTTCCATTTGTTGTCAGCCTGGAGATTGGCAAAACTCATCCCAAGGAAGCTTCTCACTGCCGACTACCTCTTTAGAGGCTTCGCTCAAGCTTTCCAGGCGTGGTGCAACATCATTGTGCTGCAACATTTTGTTGCAATTCTTGAGGATGGCAGATGTTTCCTACGTACTGCTGAAGAGTTGAAGAAACAAACGATGATTTCAGGGCACGCGGTAATGAGCAAGTCAGTGGATCACCGTTGTTTTTGAAGGCTATAGATGGCACTGCCGAGCAGAATATTGCAATGTACAGAGACTAATGTTTCATCTGTCTGTTTAAATCTTTCTGTATTAGTTTTTTTCATCTCTCTTGCCCTTGTCTTCTTATTTTCAAACTCTGATGATGGATCAAACAACTGCGCCAGAGAGCATAGCCATCTCTCACAGCACAATCCACACTTGTTGTCCTACAAGAAAGGCTCTCTCATCTACGTAACATGTAGATAATAACCATACCATCTCATAGAACAATCATAATTTTTTAATCTGCCTAGTTCAGAAGCAGCAGGCAATAAGTCAATGGAGTGGGTTGTTATATTTAATTACAGGAATTAATTTTTCAATTATCTACATAGATATATCAGATAACCAATTAAAAGCTTATTAGAAGAGCATTGCTGAAACTCGAGATTAACCAGAATAACCGGTCCCCTCCAACCCTTAATCAAAGCTCGCTGTCACTTGGATTAAGGCTGGTTAAGCCTTGAAGGTGCCTGCCAAATATCTGCTAATATGATCACTGTAGGAATCATGACAGGAGACCCCTCACAATCCTGCATCAGCCAAATGCAACGTTTATCATTCAATATCATCTTGCACGTATTTCCCACCACCACAACAAAAAAAAAATGATGCCTTGATTTACTTGACACTCCAAATATTACACAGTATTATTGCCTCCTGCAACTAAAACCCTGTTCAAACGATCGCTTGGACTGAAAATATTACAAGCGTTTGAAAAATTTATAACATACTTGATCCCATAGTTTGAAGGATTCTTGAAATAGCTTTTCCTAGAAAACAACAAATTAGATGGCGACAACCATGTTGAATCTCAGTTGATTAATTATAAACAGTAGATGGCACTGATTTTTTTTCTTAAAAATAATGTTTGATTTCTCAATAGGTTCTAAACTCATTAAACCGAATCTATATTTATTTTTTTCCTTTTTCCACCAATCTTTCTCAACGATCATGTTAAGAATTCCCTTTTTAATGTTCTCAGAAGTGATACAAAATCTTAACTGACTTAAAGAGTTGGATCAATATCAAGTAATAATTTCATTTTAAAGAGCAGTATGCTCTACTGTTGTTTCAAGAATTCTATCAGCAGAACACTGTTTATTTAATTACATAGATTGATTAATTACATTTTTTTAATCCTCCAACTCACACCGTAACTCAAGAGGATATTGGGAACCCTGGCACCACCATTGAAGGCCAAGATATTCTCATCTAAATTTTCATGCCACGAACCCGCCCCAAGAAAGTTTTCTTTGGAAAGGATAATGTCACGTGAAATCCTCAGAAACCATCCAAGATAATCTTTTCAACAGCACTTCCACCACTGAGATGTTCATCCCTCTTCTCCACTACAGAATTTTATACAAATAAAGTAAATAGAGAAATAGGATAGGCAACAAAATCTCGTCAATTAAAACAAGCATTTAACACAGTGAATGAAGATATTCATCAGAATCTGCACTGTTGTATTATGTTTTCACGTAAGGAATTACATGCCCAACAGGGCACTTATATTCAAGCTGAGAAATACGGGGATTTCTATGAATTCCAAATAATGGTTCCAAAAGTAAAAGACCCAAACTGTGAGTTTATATTCTAGATTCCTAAAACTATTTTTCATATCAGCTACCTGTCAAGGGATATGGAACAATCTTTTCATGCTTCGCTCATATTGAAATTAATATGTTTCAGGAAGACCAGCTGTTAGGTGACAAAAATCGCCAAAACCATCCAAATTAGCTTTGTCAAATCTCTACCAATTCCATGAATCATAAAAACAAGATGGGCACCTGCGAAAAAAAATTCCTGAGCTCCGGCCTATATTACATATGAGATCATCTTTAGTTTGAAGATATAACTTACAGTACTCACAAGAATTCAGAAATCAAGTCTGTCTCCCACGGAATAAATTTTTGAAACATAAAATATTCGAAATATTTCATGTAGAGAAAGGTTCTGTCACAGTCTCGACTTTCAACATGAAACAAGTAGTCTCGGTGAGTATCAACAATTCACCATAAAAAATTGGTAATTAAATATAAGAGCGAATAAGGGTAGAATTTCTGCCGATAAAAAATGGAGGAAAAAAGCAAAGGTGACGAATGAATAGTAAATTACCAGTTCTTCTATTAGCACATGTAATTAGTATGTAAGTCTAATTGATATCACTTGGATTCCCATCCTTATTATATGACTGTTCCACAAAATCAATTCTGTGCAAGTTTGCTATATATTTTTGGAATTGAAACTAGTTCTCAAGACACCAGCCGGAGAGTCAACCTAAATTTAGTAGTTAGAACATGAAAAAAATGAGAAATACATTATTTGACGACATAAAAAAGGGTGTTGCAGTTGAGCTATTTGGATTTTCTCATGAATTTATTGAGCCTTCTTAATTAAGCAGAGTTGGGCCTCCAGAGTGTTGAAAAAGGCCAACGTCTTCTTTGATATATTTACCCGACCCAAGAGAAAACCGGGGTCTACAACACTGGTTTTGCGATTTTTCTTCAGTTAATTATTTATGAGTCTTTTTTGGAAACCTTTTTTTTTTTTTTTGGGAAACTCTAGATCTCAAAATCCAATGAGTTTTGATTGTCAAACCTGATAAAATAAAACTTCTACTGCATGTTAGGAGCCAAACCACAGTGCTCCGATGGCCTTAAAGACCCTATCACCCTATGGCAAACTATCTAATTTGATTTCTTGTAAACGGAATTTTGTAATTCATTCCTTTACTTATTTCTTTTAGACACATGTCAAGCTGGTACCTACACGTCAGGACACCTTCTTTGCTATCTTAAAAATATCCTTGAATATAATATTTCATTCTGTCGATGTTAATATTATTTTCCTAAATCATATATTCTTAAAGTATATAGTTGTAAAACGTTCCATATGAACAATTGAGTAACAATGAGAGAGTTTTACTGATCATAGAAGTTTGATTTTAGCGGAAAAATGCTAAAAAATCTGTTTTATAAGCTGATTAAGACAACTGTTCTTCCACAGTGAATTTATCTGATTAATAAGTTGAATCCTACATCATTACTGGGTTCTCTGTTGATTTGTAGTCAGTCCGGGAGCCGTAGAGAATTCCTCAAGAGGAAAAAAAGCTGGGGACCCTCCATTTTCTCTGTCTTTTGACTCAACAGGTCAAGAGTGAAAAATAAAACCGGGTCAAAGCATGCCGAAAGTCTGACCGGTATATTTCAGTGGGATCGATTTACACCAAACTCGAACACATTTTCAAGGCCCGTAGAAGACCGAGCACTGATTATAAGCTCCATCCAGAACGCGGATAAACACTATCATATCTACCTGCATATTTTTAATGGGCTCTATCACATCTACCTGCTTTCAGAAAGTGGGAGAGAGAGAGAGAGAGAGAGAGAGAGAGGGAGAGAGAGAGAGAGGGAGAGAGAAACGAGAACTTAGGCCCTTTTACTCATCTGATCCGCTGGGCTCTTCACATCTTAGATTATGTCTGAAATTTTTATATTAATGAACATAATTGCAGTTTATTACTGGTGGGACATACTCAAAGGTACAAATGGGCTGGAGTTCCATGAAAAGCCCAACATGGCCCAGAATAAGAAAGTTATAGACGAGAACCTGGAGAGTCCCTGGAGGTCTTTTAGGTCCAAAGTTCAAGAAAACCATCCACTGGGCTAGCTCAAGGCCCATTTTCTCTTCTCTCTACTTATTGTCTTGATTGGGCCCAAAGAAAAGCCCACTTAAGGGGGGCTTGTTGTCTTTGGGTTCCGAGAGTTTGGGTTTGGGCCTTTAAGCCGTCTTCAGGGCCTGACAGACCCGAAGCCCAAATAGCCCTTTATTATAAATGGGCCTCCGCCTCCGAATAGTGGTAATGGGGTTGACTGATTCTTGCACCGCTCATTTAAAGTGTCTATTAAAACGGCTAAGCAGATCGTTAAAACAGTCAGTCTGGTTTTTAACAATTTTTATATTGTTTTCGATAAGTCCCTGTAGAGTTGGACATTTTGGATTTTACCTCAACTTATTTTATTTTGCCAAACGATGGTGAAGTCACGGAGCCGTAACGAGCGCCGACTCCCGCGCCGCTTGACCATTAATGGGCGGCCGTACACGTGGTGGAGAGCAGCGTGGGATCTGCTTAACCTTTCACGAGGTGAAAGCAAGCCGAAGCCGAAAGGTTTGGTGCGCTTTTCTCTCTGCCACCCCAAAGCCAAAGGGTAGGTACCCTTTCCTCTCCCCCCTGCTCCCTCTCTCTCTCTCTCTCTCTCTCTCTCTTCAACCCGGTTCCCTTTCCTCTCCTCCCTGCAACCCTAAACCAAAAGGGTAGGTTTCCTTCTCTCTCTGCAATCGGAAACCAAAACGAACGGTTTCCCTCTCTCTCTCTCTCTTCAACCCGGTTCCCTTTCCTCTCCTCTCTGCAACCCTAAACCAAAAGGGTAGGTTTCCTTCTTCTCTCTACAATCGGAAACCAAAAGGAACGGTTTCCCTCTCTCTCTCTCTCTCTCTCTTCAACCCGGTTCCCTTTCCTCTCCTCTCTGCAACCCTAAACCAAAAGGGTAGGTTTCCTTCTTCTCTCTACAATCGGAAACCAAAAGGAACGGTTTCCCTCTCTCTCTCTCTCTCTCTCTTCAACCCGGTTCCCTTTCCTCTCCTCTCTGCAACCCTAAACCAAAAGGGTAGGTTTCCTTCTTCTCTCTACAATCGGAAACCAAAAGGAACGGTTTCCCTCTCTCTCTCTCTCTCTCTCTCTCTGTGCAACCCGAAACTGAAAGGGTAGGCCACTGCGATCGGCACAACAGCAGAGCGAAGGCGTAGAGTGCGATGTAGGCGGTGAACAGCCACTAGAGAACTGCCCAAGTGATCAAAGATAAGCAGAGATTTCATTTCAATATGTCTACTGCATCCAATGCCACTTGCAACGCGACCTCTGACTTTCCCCCGTCGCCTCCCTCTCCATCCTCGTTGGTTGGAAGGCCGCAGAGGAGGCGACCGCGAAGGCGGTAGCAGCGGCGGTAGGTTGGTGTGGGTCGCGTTGCTAGTGGCATCGATTGCGGTCGACATACTGCAATCTCTGCTTATCTTAATTCATTCGTATGCAGTATCCCGGTGGTTGTTCACTACCTACATGACTCTCTACGTCTCGGGGATCCTCCGCTGGTGTTGTTCCTCTGCCATCCGTCGTTGGCGCCACCGAGATTATTAGCCCAACGCCGCCACCAGGGGAAGCCGCTGGCCGCCGCCTGCCTCCGCGTCCTCGCGCTCGCGCGGCAGGATTTGAGTGTAGCCGTCCTCGCGGGGCTGCAGTTGTTTGTGGGGGTTCTCTATTTCTCTTTACCTCCCTTCCTTCCTTGAGACTCGATCGATGTCGAGGGCAGGGGCTTGTTCTGCAGCAGTTTGTACCTCTCTCTCGGCCGAGCTGAGGTAAATAAATAACTGAATAATTATTTCTCTTGTTCGACGTGAAAATAATGCTTCTTGCGATCCGAAAATAATATTCTTTTTACTTCAGGATTCGGGTATTACTGTGCTTCGCATGCTTGAGCAGACTGATAATGACCCACATGAAGCTGAAGCTGAAGCTGAATAGATTTGAGTTCCTCTTCTGAGAACATCGCATCGCTGTTCGTGTCTGTTTTCCGCGCCTCAGAAGCTTTTAAGGCACCATTTCCAAGCTACACAGATCCAAAAGACGATGTCTAGTGCGAAAAAAGGCAAAGAAAATGGAGGGAACCCAGCTTTTCTTCCTGTTGAGGACTGCAGCTCTGCTGCTCCTGGGCAGATTACAATCTGTGATGCCGTGGGATTCATCCTATCTGTTCAGAAAAATTCTCGCTGGAAGGAAAGTTGTCTTGAGCAGCTCAGAAGAACAGAGTGCTTTAGAATTTTTCCAGTGAAGCGAAACTGCTATTATCAGTAAAGTTAAAGCACTGTCATTGTTACTCACTGATCATATGGATCGTTTTACTACTATATATATATATGCTTTAGGAACGTAGGATTTAATAAAAGCATATTAACATCGACATTATAAAATATGGTATTCAAGAAGATTGTTTAAGATAACAAACAAGGATGATCTGATGTTTAGGACCAACTTGAACAGTGTCTCAAAGGAATAACTAAAGGAATTAACTGCGAAATTCCGTTAACAAGAAATCTCTTCACATAGTTTACCACGAGGGTGCTCGGGTCTTTAAGGCCACCAGAGTACTGTGGTTTGGCCCCTAACACGCTGTAAAAGCTTGCTTTTATTAGATTTGACAAACAAAACTCATCAAATTTTCAGATCTAGAGTGTCCACCAAAAAAAAAAAAGAGGACTAAAACAGTTTATAAGCAACTAACAGAAGAAAAATCTCAAAGGCAAGTGTCTTTGACCCCAGTTTTCTCCAGGGTCTGGTGGATATATCTATGAAGATTTCGGCCTATTGCTCACACTCTGGATCAGGACAGCCCATGGGTAGTTTGACGGCCAATTGAGATGTTTAAAGGAGTCAAGTCTGCTTAATTAATAAGGCTCAACACAGGTATGAGAAAATCCAAATAGCTCAGGTGCAACACCCAATGTCAGCAAAATCACATATTTCTCATTTTCCATCTTCAAAATTAGCTCATTTAGATTCAGTCTCCAACAACTAGTGTTGTGAGAACTAATTTCAAAACTAACAAAGAGGCAAAGTTGCATGGCATTGATGCTGTTGGAAAATCATGTCAGAAGGATGGGAATCCAAGCAATTTCAATTTCAGTTTCGCATTAATTAGATGTGCTACTTGAAACACTGTTAATGTATTGTTCATTATTCCCTTTATTTCTGAAGTGGGGTCACTTTTGCCTTTTTTCTATATCGTTTTTCTGTCGAAGTTCTACCTTTGTTCTCCCTCAGATGTGGCTATCATATTTTTATGGCAAATAGTTGATAATAACCGCCTTCATTCAGTAGGAAATGAGATGATGTTGAGAAGCTTATGTGCGAGTAAATAGATTTATGAATTATCACGTCACACAGACCGAGACTATATGTTGCACGTTGAAAGCTGTGACTGTGACTGGCCCTTCTTCTACCTGAAATATATTTCCAATATTGTATGTTTCAAAAACTTTATTCTGTGGGAGTTAGACTTGATTCTCAATCCTTGTAAATCCTTCAGACAAATGGTGATCTGCTATGTTACACAGGCACGAGTTCAGAATTTCTTTCCAAAAGCGCAAATGGGCCATCTTGTTTTCTTGATTCATGGAATTGGAAAAAAATGGAGAAAGATGATTTGGTGGATGGTGATGGCAATTTTTTTCATATAACAGTTTATCTTGCTGAAACACTCATTTCTCTATATGAACGAAGCAGGCAAAGAGTACTCTTTGTCCCTTGTCAGGTAACTACTAAGCAAAATAGTTTTAGGAATCTAGGATGTAAACTTATAGTTTGGATCTTTTACGTTTGGAACCATAGTTTTGGAATTCATAGAAATCCCTGAGTTTCTCAACTTGAATGTAAGTACTTTGTTGGCCATTTAATTCCTTATATGAAAACTTAGTATAACAATGCTTGTTTAATTGAGGACATTTTGTTGCAGATCCATTTGGTACGTCTCTCAAAAAATACTGCAGTGGAGAAGAGGGCTGCGCATCTCATTGATCAAAGTGTTGTTTGAAAGATCAAGGAGTTGGGGTGGGTTATCTGGTTAATCTTGAGTATTAGCAATGCTCTTCTAATAAGCTTTTATCTACAATATATCTATGTAGATAATTGAAATATTAATTCCTATAATTAAATATAACAACCCACTCCAGTGAATTATTGCCTGTTGGTTCTGAATTAGGTGGATTAAAAATTTACGATTGTTCTATGAGATGGCATGCTTATCATATATATGTTATGTAGATGAGAGAGCCTTTCTTGTAGGACAACAAGTGTGGACAGTGCTGTGAGAGATGGCTATGGATAGCTAAGATCATGGCTATGCCTGCTGGTAGCTGACTGGCTAACTGGCTATCCAGTTTTGCCTACGGCTCTTTTGTCTGTCCAGTACCTGCTTGGCATAAAACAACAAGGGGATTTATGATTCTCTGGCGCACTTGTCTGATCCATCGGGGTTTAGACATTAGAAGATGGGAGCTAGAGAGATTAAAAAGACTGATACAGATAGATTTAAACAAACAGATAGAACATTAGTTTCAGTACACTGTAATATTCTTCTCCCACAACAATCAGCCCACTCGCTTGTTTTTTACCTCGACTCGAAACCTTCATTTGTTTCATCAATTCTTCAGCAGTGAGCAATACATATTTGCCATCCTTAACAACAAGATGTTGCAGCACGAGGATGTAGCATCACGCCTGGAAAGCTTGCACGAGGTCTCTGAAGAGGTAGTCGGCAGTGAGTAGCTTCCTTGGGTGGAGTTCTGCTAATCTCGAAGCTGACAACAACTAGAAGTGGATCCATAACAGCCAAAATATACATCAAGAACCAAATAGGCAGCAGCATCATCGACATGTTGACAGTCGCGTTCCGCACCATGGTGAAGCTCATGAGTGTCGCAGGAACTTTGGGTTCCGACCTACAACTCGAAGCCCCAGGTGGCCGATCATGGCCTACTTGATTCTACACGCATCGGCTATGATGGAACGGGTCCTCTCTGAATCCTTCGTCAGCCCAGAGATTGGCCCAATGGCACCACCTGGGGAAGTCGTTGGCTGCCGTCCACAACCTTAGAGTCCTCGCCCAAGCTTTCCAGGCATGGTGCGCCATCATCGCGCTGCAACATCTCCAGGGAGCCGCCCCCACGGGGCTGCGTTGTTGAGGACGACGAATCTGCCCTGCTCACTGCTGAAGAAACGATGAAACAGAGAAAGATCTCAGTGAGGGGGGAAGGGCCGATTGCAGTGGCTCTCAACCTTCAGGTCCGAAGGGGGGTGGCAGGCCGGAACACCCCCCCCCACCCCCCCGGGCCGAGGCGGTTGCCGGCGACGCCCTACATTGCAGATCGTTGAGGAAATGCCGCAAGGACAGGTGTGTGCGAGAGAGAGGGAGAGGGAGAGGGAGAGGAAGAGGGGGTGGGAGGAAAAGGCAACCTACCCTTTTGGTTCGGGTCGCTTTAACCTCGTCAAAAGGGGTAATCGGATCACACGCGGCTCCCCGCCACGTTTGCGAGCTCGTGATGCCCAAGCGGCGTGGGGGTCTTTCCCAAAATAAAATAAGATGAGGATGGATCTGAAATTTCCAATCTGTAGGGGGGTATCCAGAAACATATTATCATTGTTAAAAGCCCGATTGACTGGGTTTTAGTGACGGGCTTAGCTCTTTTAATGCATAATCTTTAAATGATTAGTGCAATAATCATTCAACCACGTTAACACCATAAGGCCCATTCTATAGTTTGGGCAGCCCCATTAACACCAAATAATGGGCCTGTCTATTTGGCCAGGCTCGGGCCGCCTCTTGGGACTTGAGCGGGGCTGTAAGGCTCAGGCCCGAACTTCGGGAGCCCAGAGACAATGAGCCTCCAACCCCATCCCTAAGTGGGCCTTCCTTTGGGCAGAGCCCATTTGATTCCTGCCGCCCAATATGAAACAGAGAGACAGCGAATAGGGTGAGCAGTGCAATGGGCCTTGGGCTATCCCAGTGGGGCGTTTCGAACGATCGACAATAGGAACTTGTTTTCTCCTAAGAGTAACGGGAGTGATGTTAGTGAGGGAAGGTTGAAGTTTGAATGAAAGAATTGATAGCTGAAGTCTGACCAGTACGGAAATAAATAGTTGTCGAACATTAAATTGAGATAAATGAAGATGTCAAAAATAAAAAAAGCCCGCCACCAAGTTCTGGTGGTTTTTTTTGGGTGGGGAATAACATCATAAGAATTCATCAAAAGATGCCACAAGCCACAAGAACGTACCCCAAATCAAAGAAAATCAAGAATTTGTCAAAAGATGCCACAAGAACATACTTGGAGCTGCTATTTATTTTTGTCATTGCCCTACATAGTGCGCATAAGAATCAACAAGTGATCAGTTGAAGAGATGGAAGAACATGTACAAGTAGAGGTAGAAGCATACTTGATAGCCTTTCAAGGACAGCCTTCCTTTAGTAAAAAAAAAACAAAGTGTAGGCCAATGACTCAAGATCATCTCTTTTACTCGCTGTGAGGCCTAAATGTACATGGATGCTTGCATATCATGTAGTGCCTCTATAGAATATGAGAACATGAGATTTTATGAATCCTCTTATTAGCTAAACATATAATAAAAAATAAGAATATTTCTTTCCAAAACACCTAAAACTATATGGCTGTTGGTATAATCTAACATGCTGACCCAATGAAGTGTCCCTCCACATTGAAGTTGATTAAAAGTTTAATGACACATATTATCAATTTTAAAGACTCTAAACAAAGCACAAAAATATTGTTGAAGTTGGTACAGAGAAGGACTCCTTATCAAGAGCAATGCATTTATATACTTGAAAAAAAAACCCTACTCTAAAATGAATAGCTGTGAGAGGTGAAAAAAAAAAGTGATTGGAGTGACAACATGCCTAGCCAAAAATCGATGAGGAAAGCCTCTTCTCTTTGAGCTTCTAGGCTTACCTAATAGTCTCTCTTGCTTAACATCTCTATGTA